GGGAGTTCCAAAGGAAATAGAGACAGTGGCTAGGAGGCAGGTGTGCGGAGGAAGGAAGGGCTGCATTAAGCTGCTCCAGCCAAACTCAGGGAGCTGGGGGACTCAAATAATGCAGGAGTTAGGGATTGCCTTGCTCTCAGCAAAACTTGCTCATCCCCACCCTCATTTCCCAGGTGACTATTTAAAGCTCAGAGAGATCAAGGACCAGCCCAGAATCACACAGCAGTCTCACAACAGAGCCAGGATTTAAATCCTCTGTTTCCAAGCCCAAGCGTGTTCTTCCCGAGTGTGGAGAGTTCGGTGTCAAACACCCCAGGGTCCTCCTGTTTGCCCCACTCTACACTGGCTAGAGGATGGCAGAGGCAGTCTGCCAAGAGCAGACAGGATTGCTCTTCTAGGGAAACAGCAACAGTTAACACTCGTAGCAGGTAATGGGTACAGATAGACAGGACACTTAAGGCTGCCAGCAAGGAAGAAAGGTGACTGTTTGTCAGGGAGAGTGCTGGTGGTCAGGGAGAGGTTCTTTGGTTTTATGGGTTGCTGTTTTTTAAACAAATCTGGCCTAGAGACAGGATTTAATAACACTAACATCTAAGCCCTTATACGATAGAGGGCAGTGGGAGATTCAATTGTTCAAACAACAGCTGCAGGCTGAGTTTTGCTGCAACTCCAGCATCGGCTTCACCACCTCATCTTGAGTGGAATCTGGCATCCAGTGCCTGTGTTGGCAACCTCCCTCTGCATCTGTGCCGTGACCTTGAGACAGCGCCATCACCACCCATTGGGACAGCAGTGGCGTCTCCCTCACTACCCGGAACCTAAAAGGTGATGTAGGCGAAGACCAGCCTGGTGCTCAAGGAGGTCTGGCCACGGGTGGCTGTGCCTGTTACTACTTCTCAGAAGGGAAGACATAGGTCAGTCAGCAATGAAAAATTGAGGTGCTGTGGAAGCTACTCCAGCCAGAAAGGGAAGAAGCCATCTCATCTGGAAGAGGCGCAGGAAAGGGGACAATTCCAGGCGCAGAGCTGAGGAAAGCTCATTTTGAAGTACAGACAAGTTTTGGCACAGTGAGCCCACATTCCTAATTAGTAATAGCAGAGGAAGGGTGGACCAATAAGAACACTTCCCAAGACAAACTCCTAACAGATCATTAAACGCATTGAGAAGGAAGGGGGAAAGGGGCTCTTGTTGTTTCCAAGTCACCATGACGGCAACAGGGAGGCCAGGATGAGCCCATGCATTATGGGGGGCTATGCACAGAGACACAAAGGCAGCTTATAGTCACGCCAGGAGTAACTTCGCAAAGAACACCTCTGACCTACAAGGCTGGCTCCAGGAAGGCTGCAGCTGAGGAGAACATTACATGATGTGCAGAACAAGACATGGGAGGCATAGTTCAGTAGGACTCTGCCATTCCTAATGTCATCTTCCTTTCCGTATCGCTGGTGGCGCTCTGCCAGTGATGTTAATAAACTGGACACAAACTGGAGCCACCTGGGAAGGAGAACCCAAAATAGAGAAATCGCCTCCATGAGATTGGCCTTTGGGCTGGTCTGCGGGTTTTTGTCTGGACGGATGGTTGGTGTAGGAAGACCCAGCACTTTGTGGGTGGTACCACCCCTAAGCAGATGGTCTGAACTGTCTAAGAAGGCAGGCTGAGCAACCGCTGGGCAACGAGCCAGCAAGCAGCACTCCTCCATGGCCTGTGATTCAGTTCCTGCTTCCCGGTTCCTGACTCTTTCCTCCTGGGCTCAGTTTTGGTCAGTGTTTATCACAGCAACAGAGCAATGAACTGGGACAGGCGCTAAGTTAAAAGTGGGGGAAAAGATGCTAAAGTCCCCGCCATGTCTAAGGCAGGGCAACAGAGAACTTAATGGCCCTGGAAAACTCACACATACACTTGAGTCCAAGCTGTTCATAATTCTATAGCTATCATTCAGAAGTCACTCTGATCTGTGTAGGAGAGAGGAGAATCTATCCAATGAGAGGCAGGGACAAATGTCACACCAGATTCCCGGAGACAAAAGGGTGTACTAAGAAAACTACATTTGGAGGCACTTCCTTCTACTCCCTGGAAACAAGAGTCGATGATTGACACCTGTGCATGGGTAATATAGTTGACTTCAGATAGATTCTTTTATTACTTTTCTGATAGAGGTTGTCAGGAACTCATTTAGAAAATTCAGTGTGAGCACAGCATAGTGTCTTTTGTTTTGGAAGAAAAAAACAACACAGGGCTGAGGTCTGCATACCTGGATTTCCATCTAGCTCCTAGGTGAGGGTATGTTCTCTTAAGTCCATCCCACCTAAAGCTCCATGATGCCACCTTAAAATGCAAATGGTCTGGTTAGGACCAGGGTCCTGAAGACACCACAGCAATAAAGCACCTGTACACTAAGGTTACTACCACACCATGGGTCACATGTTACACCAACCATGGGGAGACTTGATCCCTGATTTTGCCATTATGTAACTTAATCCCCAAATGATGGGAGAGTTGGGACAAAGGTCACAGAACTATGATCTGATTAGGCTAGAGGAGGCTCGGACCGAGAACCAGAAGAAATAAATGAACATAAATGGAAAGTCCTGTGTCTAAACTGTATTTTTTTCAATCCCGCATAAGTTCAAGAGAGGGGAACACATAATAAGGTGAGAATAAGGCGACAGAGATGAACCCCCATGCCCGTGGAAGTGGCAGTGTCATTGTTCAGCTTCAAACCAAAGACCTAATGAGGCTCATGCTCCATTAATGAGAAGGACAATGGTAGGTAACACCCTCCCATGGGCATTGTGCTGTGACCATGATAACGTGATAGATTTGCAGCCCCAAGAAATTGTGGTGTGATTGCCACCTGTCCCACAGAATCCTGTCAGGGCTATTGTTTTCAATGCCAGGGATGATACCAATTAGCCAGGTAATAAACTTTTGTGTGTGCAGAGTAGAACAGTCAAAATAAGAAACATCTGGAAAGGAGGTCTGAAGCACTGGCCACACTCAGGCCAGAGGCTGCATAGCCAGATCAGTGTGTGTGGGGGGGGGGGATGGTTAAGCCCGAGACTCTTAACTGCTTACCTTGAAGTCTGTGTGCTTCCACCTGTACATTGTATGATGCGGTACAAGGGACTCAGCTTCCTCTGTGCCTCAGTTCTCCCACAAGGAAGGCAGCGACGGGTTGGTGTGAACATAGTCAATGAGTTTCTTTGGATTTGGGGTTTTTTTAGTTTTTGTTTGAATGTGTTTTCCATTGGTAGTAGTGATAGTCGTTTTCTTGCTTGCTTGTGTGTTTGTTTTGAGACATGGTCTAAAGCATCCCACAATGGCCTTGAACTCACTACGTAACCAAGAATGTCCTTGTACTTCTGATCCTCCTGCCTCTACCTCCGGAGCACTGTGTCATGTGCTCAGTGTATGCACTGCTAGGGGTGGTTTTGTGCATGCGAGGCTAACATGCTGCTCACTGAGCCCCAGCCACAGACCCCACACACACCATGGTAATGACAATCCCCTCCCTGTGGTGCGCTGACTGACCAGGCTGCATGCAAGGAGGAGGAAGGTCATGCCACCTAGTCCAAGCTTCTGGTTTCCTCCTAGGACCAATGGAGGAAACCAGAAGCAAGAATCCACACCCAATTGAGAGAACTTTCGGAGGATCCAAACTCCCCGGTGGAGAAATGAGTTCCCAGTTACTAGCAAAGCTGACTGTATTCTTGTTCTGTGGTTGGGAACAAGTCATGAGGTGACAACACTGATTAGGAACTTCAAAGAAATCAGGCGGTGGGTCACTGTGAATGGTAACGAGCTCCAAATCTCTTCCTCCTCTGGCGAAGACCCTGAACATTTAATTTCTGGGTAATTTAGGTCATTTTCTGTTGTTCTTGAATACCACAAAGTGGGTGAAAAGTAGCACAAGTTTATTCCCCACCATTCAGGTTCAGGGACAAGGGGCTACATGCGGCAGGACCTTTTGTTCCCGGGGCCTCTGCAGTCTGGAGGCAGCAAAGGCCCGTCGTGCTTTCCCTCCCCTTCTGACGAGGCTAATAAGATCATGGAGCTCCATTCCCATCTAATCCTAATCAGGCCCCACCTCGTAATACTGTGACAATGGAATCAACCCACCATGAATTAGATGGAGGCATCCAGATCACAGCAGTAGACAACCCAGGTGGTAGTAGGTCATTACTGCACTATCTCTCAGTTGCTTGCCTTTCAGAAAAGAAGCAAGCTAAAAAGCTATGGCGTTTATAGTCAAATTCCACAAATATCCAGTTTACCTGTGCATTCTTGGGTAATATAGGATATCTCATTGGGTTCCGTTTGTTCTTCTGTAAGTGAAATAAATTATTGCTAATCCCGAGGACCCAGAATCAAAGCTAGTGTGTTTTTGTTTGTTTGTTCATTTGCTCTTGCTGTGTTGGTCAGCATTGTGCCAATATAGGATTTACAGCGAGGTGAAACACACAGACTGGAGCTTTCTGACCTTTCAAACCCCGTGGGGTTGGGGGGGGGTAGAAACTAGATAAAGAAACTCAGCTCCGTCAGCAAGTGTGTGTGCCAGAGCAACACTTACAAAGCTCTGAGAGACAGGCAAATTGGAAGTTCTCCCAAACCTGAAAGTCTTGCGCTTCTCATCAGGCAGGGGAGAGGATAAAATAAAGGCATAAAATGGAAATTGTCACTTGTTAAAAACCTACCTAATATTGGTTTCTGGACCCAGTGACACGGCAGACCTTCATTGTGATTAGGAAGGATCCAAACCAAGGGTGTGAGTTTGGCAACCGTCTTGGTCTAAATTGCATCCGTAAGCCTTTCTGGCCCTTTGGAAGTTTTGTGCTGTCTTGCTGGAGCCGGTCAGGACTAGATGGCTCTATCTTGATACAATTCTTAAGTCGAGAAGCTTCTCACTGACAGTGGTGGGGTGGCTGAGGACCTGCCACACCCTTTAAGAAGCCCTGCCACACACGGCCCCACTGTGATCTGCTTTCTCCCTGTTTCACAGTGTGACGGCGTTGAGGTGGACCTGAGCAATATCTTCCTGGAAGGCATTGCCATTCTGAACATTCCCAGCATGTACGGAGGCACCAATCTCTGGGGAGAAACCAAGAAGAACCGGGCTGTGATCCGGGAAAGCAGGAAGAGCGTCACAGACCCAAAGGAGCTGAAATGCTGTGTCCAAGGTAAGCGAGCATGAGGATAATTGCTCTCGCCATCGCCCCAGTGACAGAGTAAGCTGGCAAGCCACACAGAACCTACAGCAGGCTTGATGAGGACTCCACAGCAGCCAAGTGCCTGGTGCTCTGGGAACAGGCTGACTCATCATCCCTGGGGTTACCAAGTTTACAATCTAATTGGGAAGGCAAGGTTCACAATAAAGGACCCCTAGACAACAGTTGGTAGGCAACCAGGACTCCATGAGGTTAGGTGTCAGGTGCTGCTCCTGCCATGGGTACCATGTCTTCCACTGTCTACATCCAGCAGTTTTCAACCTGCTCTCAACTCCCAGACAACATCAGACCCCACCCATCACTCCTTCCCCCTGGGAAGCCTTTGTCTTCATGGCTTCTAGAACTCTACTGGCTCCCAGTTTTCTTGATCATACCGCTGCTCACTACTCAGTCTCTTTTCCCTCTGGCCAGTTAACTATTAAAAGAAAAATACAGAATACAACCACTTTCTACCACCTGCTTTCTGATTGTCTACATCTAAGCCACTATCTTCTTTCTTCTGAATTACTAAAACCCTTCTCTCTGGATTCCTTCTTCTGCCTGTGCTATATATAATGTGTTCTCACCAAGTGCAGTGGTGTGTGCCTGTAATGCCAGCACTTGGGAGGCAGAAGCAGGAGTGTGAGGCCAGCCTAGGCTATATACCTTCCAAAACAGTGTATTCTCACCACACGTAAAGATCCCTGAGAAAATGTCCTACTATGCCACGGACCAAATCCAGTACTGACTCTAAGTAAAAAGCCAAAGGTCTTAGTGTAATATGGAGGCTCATTGACATCTAGCCTTCAGCTAGCTCCTGGACCTTATCTCTCCCCTTCATGAACTCTGCTTCTGTATGGCAGCTTGCATAAACCAACCGGTCCTTCCCAAAACAGCAGGATAGTGTGTCTAAGAGGCCCTCAGCTTATCATATGCAAGGATACAGAAGACAGCCTTCTGAGATGCGCTTAAATGACCTTCATCCCAACCCCTTATCAGCCAAGGACTGAGTCAAAGCCCCTGGCTGCTGAGTCCTCTAAGGATGGTTTGGCTTTCATGGAGTCTCAATTGCCTGGGGAGTGGAGGGGTGAGAAGCTGGGGTGAGGACATTGCCATGGGCACTATGCCAGCAGGAGAGGAGTGGATTCTAGTCCAGGTATTGCTACCTACCCTATTTTGTTCTTTTCTTTTCTTCCTTCCTTTCTTTTTTTTTTTTTGTGCCTAGTTTTCTTAGCTGTAAAACCAGATTTTCAGGTAAAATCTTGCTAGCTGGGTAGATGAGGTTGAATAAGAGGGTTGATTCTTAAGCCAACCTGCTTTGTGAAAAGATTCCTGGACTCTGAGCTACCTACTATTGAAGGGAGGGAAGGGGCTACCTGCCAATGAAGGGAGGGGGCTACCTGCCTACCATTGGAGGGAGGGGCTACCTGCCTACCATTGGAGGGAGGGGCTAGCTGCCTACCATTGGAGGGAGGGGCTACCTGCCAATGAAGGGAGGGGGCTACCTGCCTACCATTGGAGGGAGGGGCTAGCTGCCTACCATTGGAGGGAGGGGCTACCTGCCAATGAAGGGAGGGGGCTACCTGCCTACCATTGGAGGGAGGGGCTAGCTACCTACCATTGAAGGGAGGGGCTGCCTACCATTGAAGGAAAGGGACTGCTTACCACTAAAGGGAGGGGGCTACCTACCATTAAAGGGGGTTACCTACCTTTGAAGGGGGACTACCTGCCACTGAAAGGAGGGGCTGCCTATCTTTTAAGGGAGGGGTTACTGGCTTATTTCACATGGATCATCTGTATTCTAGAGCAAGATAATAAAGAAACATCCTCTTCATACCTCTGTCCTTTCAAAGAGGACTCAGGAATATTTCTCTTTTGCCCTCTTATGGCCCCTTTATTTCACACAGCAAGCTTTTCAATTTATATGAATTATTAAACTGAATAGTTCCTTCCTCCCTTAGCAGGGGAAGTTGTGGGTGCTAGCAGAGTGAGGGAAATAGTGGAAGTTGTATAAAGTTTTGACACCCCTCCCCCACGTTCCCACTTCACCACCACTCTCACCTCCTGGCATCCAGCTGTATCAGAACAGAGAAGGAATTGGTGGAGAAGAAAGAGCCCTCTCCCACATCCACCCTGGGGCCTGTGGATGTTCTTCCTGCTTGCACATTCTGCTTGCACCTTTTCCTTAAATGTCTGATCTTACATCTTTCTGTTCTTTAAGCAAGAGTAAACTGTTGATCGCTCTTAGCCATCTTGCATGGGAAGCCTCTCCCCAACCCCCCTTTCCCATCCCCAAAATGCACTTTCAGAGCTGAAAGATGAAGCACTTCCTGTTCTTCAACAGGAGTGTTAGCAGATCAAAGCAGAGGCCCTGGCTTCGCGACTTTTCATAGATCTCTGAGCCTCCCTCCAAAGAGAGTCATCCCATAGAGTTGAGTTCACAGTGGGAAAAGCTAAAGATTTCCCTTAGAAAATCTGGGCTCTGGCCCACACTCTGCCTCTCACTAGAATGTGGCATTGTGAATGTCCCTTCATCTTCTTGGGTCTCCATTTTTCTTAGCTATAAAACAAGCAACTGGGAAATCATATTTTGAGACTTTTTGTTTGTTTGTTTTTTGTTTTTCAAGGCAAGGTTTCTCTGTAGCTTTGGAGCGTGTCCTGGAAAGCTCTGTAGAGCAGGGTGGCTTCAAACTCACCAAGATACACCTGCTTCTGCCTCCCGAGTGCTGGGTTTGAAGGCGCACGCCACCACCATCTGGCTATTTTAAGACTTCTAAAATCTCTAAAAATTGACAGTCGTAGTTTGGTTGAGCAGAACTGTATGGGTATTTTTTCTTCTATGTGTTTTGTTCCAGGATTTCTGGGCCAATAGCTAAGGGGGCAGGGGCTGTCTGCAGGCTCTTCATTTATTGTGATTCTTGACTCCTTGGGCTTCCTTTGAGACTAAAAGAGAGAGAGAAGTCAGGGCAGAAGAGTAGGAAAGAAGAGTCTCATCATAGGACATATAAGAGGGAAGAGAGATAGAAGGCTAATGCCAAATCTCTCATGTACATCAGCCTTTCTCCTGGGAAAAGTGACCCAGGTAAGAAGGACACTCAGGATTAACATGGCGTGAGTGCTGTAAGAACACAGTCTGCTGAGAAGGCAGTAAGGGAGCAGGGAACATTGCGGGCTGATAACCTGGGTTTAAACTTTTGGCTTTCTATTTTCCAGTTTTATTAAAATTTGAGAATGATCCCACCTCCTCAGCACCCTCGTTTATAAACTGAGCATAATCATACCTAGTTACCTAGCTTGTTAAGAAGATGGTGGGCGTAAAAGTGCCTGGACACAGTATGAGCTCAAACTTAGATAACCACCCTCTGTCCTCTTCTGAGAATGCAAGTCAGAGTCTGGTTTTGACATTTCTGTCTGCATCATGTACCACCAATGAGAAGAGCAGAGCTCCTACAGAGTTCTGCTCAGCCTTGTCCCAACACAGAAAACTCACACAAGCAACTGTACCGACTACCCCCCTCTCTAGACTTCTTGGATTCCAAGGACAAAGACTAGGGACTATGAATCTCTGAAGCCCTACTATCTTTCCCCAAATATCAAAAAATATTAAAAAAAAAAACAAGGGGCTGGACAGAAGATTCAGTAATTAAGAGTACATAATAATTCTCTTTCCGAAGATCAGAGTTCAATTCCCAGTACTTACATCAGGTGCTTTATAACCAACCACTTGCAACTCCAGTTCCAGGGAACCTGACACCTCTGACCTCTGCAAGCTCCAGCACTCAGCCATACACAGATACACAGGCACACTTTTAAATAATAAGAAAATATAAGCTTGAGGGTCTGGAGAGATGGCTTAGTGGTTAAGAGCACTAGCTGTTCCCCTGGAGGACCTGAGTTTAATTCCCAGTATCCACATGGCAGCTCACAGCTGTCTGTAACTCTAGTTCCAGAGGATCTAATATCTTCATGTGCTTACAATAAAGTTAAATAAATTATTTTAAAAATATAAGCTTGAAAAACAAAGAGCATTAGATAAACAAGAAACTCACAGCATCAGTTGTTATTAGTATTTGTAACAAGAATGACCAGAAATAATCTTTCATTTTTATATTCCATTATAGCCTGCAAGTGATTTTATGTGAATGAATATAATCCTAACCAAAAGTCCATGAAAAGGTTATGTACCTAGTCAAATATTCCTACTTTATGGTTGGAAAAAAAAACTGTTCAGTTTATATCTAGAAATACCATTGGAACCAAGACTTGTATCCATGATTCCAAACCAGCCCTTAGAGGATGTGTCCATCTAGAAAATGTCCTGAAGAGACATTGTGTTGTACAAGCCTGGCTTTCACAGCATGGATGACAGGTAGATATAGTCCAGTGAGAGGATCCAAGCTACTCGGTGACACTCTGCTCCTCCCCTTCATGACTCACCCCTGTAGAGCCTCCAGCAGAGACCAGCTCTGAATTCCCTGCACACTGAGCTTTGCCTCAGTCTCACTAGAAACCTGGCTGTAGCTTTCCCTGAATCATAGGCCCCTTAGCATCTCTCTCACCTGTCTGCCTTGGAAAACAAGGGACATATGTTCCACAGTCACCTTTGTTTATCCCACTAGTTGGCGGCAGGAACCTGGGAGGGCCCTGAAAAGGAGGCAGGCTAAAGTCTCATTGATAGCCAACTTTCTTAAGAGCATCAGACAGTTTGTACCCTGAGGGTTACGAAGGGTCCCTTGAGCAACGTTCTTGTGGGCGCAAGCTGCGTACGGTCACAAAGCTGCTCATGACAAAATCGTGTTTTCCACAGAAGCCCATGAATAACAACAGCTGAAGTAGACTCACGCCTACCCGCTACACCTGGGAGGAGCACAAAGACACATTCCAGGAACAGTTTTGGGTTTTGAAGAACACTAAGGTCACAAGACTAGTCTTGTTTTCTTGGAGTTTCCTCACAAGCACTCAGAATTCCCACA